CGGGGCGGGGGGGGGGATGATGAACTGTTTCTCTTCCCATATTTGTACGGAACTGAGTAATAAAAATTCTGTTTTAGGCGCAAATAGGATGAGGATGCAGTGATGTGCCCCGCATCCAGAATAGAAGTTTCCTCCAGAAGTGGTTTACGAACAAATCTCATCAGAGTCATGTTTTATGCCATGAGGAGATCGATTGATTGGTCGGTCAATGTGGATGCGTGTCAACCAAGATCAATAATGAGGCGAAGTTGCACAGAGGAAAAAATCTTTAAGGAGGACATAGTCTTGGGAAGGGGGCGGGCTGAGTTCTCTACATGGTCTGGATAGGCTATCGAATATCGGTCTTGAAACCCCCGACTGTTGTCGATGTGCTTGTGGACGTGCGTCGAGCAGGGGCGGATTCAAACGGTTTGGCATTGACAATCCGACGAACTGTGGTTGCGTGGATTGACCCCATTCGCAAAGCCGTGGGTGAACTGTTTGGAGACAGACCCGGGGATGCAGGAGTGTCGGATTCCATCTCGTCCAGACCGAACAGGCTCTCAGGCACTTCGCAGCCCTCGCCCAACAGAGACCAACATTTCCGATTCCGTGTGCATCCGTCTAGTAACGGTTGCAGTGCGGGATGAACCTGAACAATGGACTACACGAAGAAAATCGAACGAGAAAAAAATGTAGAATGTGATTGGCACTGAGAACAGGAGTAAAATCGAATAATATTAGAAATGAGCGATATGTTATTTCATTTAAGAAAAATTGAACGATGCAGCATCCAATACTATGACGCGAATACTTTAACCACAGACACAAAACTACACTAGTCCGCGCTGGAAGCGAGAAGGTCTAGCCTCGTCTGTACTTCGTTTTGGTTGTCGGACACAGATTACATTTACAGATTACAATTATCCCACTAGTAGTCACAAGTAATTGTGAATCAAATGCTAAATATCAATCCAGTCTTGTAGGTTCGTTGGCGAATTAGTCCGTTCCTGCATAAAAGTCCTGACTTGGTGGGAGGCTTTCGATTGGAGTTAACAGTATGTCATATGTGTCTCCCTTCGTTGCTGTCGGGCCACTCTGAACTGACTATCACTGAAGACGACACCTGAACAAAGATGAATTGGCAATTTGGTTCACTCATGGTATGAGCTGTTTGACGCAGTTGTAACGCTCACGCCTTCCATGCCATGAGTCCGGAGTTCAAATCCCGGACGGGACGGTGGATATGCACTACTGATGAGCTTCAACAAGATCGAAACTCGAGTCTAGTGAGTCCGAGTGTATAGTTGAATCGATGAAGTGAGGATTGTGTGTGACAGCTTAGTCCGAAGGATAGTTAGCCCAAATCAATGCATATCAATTATCCCACACAACTACGCACAAGTAATTGAGTCAAATGCTAAGCAGATGACATGGAATCAGAATACACAGACGCGAATTCTCCAATCTAGCAGAACAAGACAACAACTGATCAACGGGACAATAAACGAGGGGAGTTGATGGATCAGTAGAATATGAGAATGCGCGGGGTGCATAAAAAAGCAAATGAACTAAGTAAGCTTGTTCTTTAAACTGTGGGCTAGACTACACAACGTCAGCATGGGCTCAAACGAAAAGTCAAAACGTCAAAGCGAAACGTTTCACATGTTTCAAAATACAAAATCAATGACAGAGAAACGGAGCTGGTAAATCGCAGTGCTGTTGTGTTATTTCAGTGCCTCAAAAGGAGAGCAGATTAAGTAAAGCAAAGCACAGACAGAAAGACAGACAGACCATGAGCGAATTAGTCAATCAAACAGGGACAATAGGATTATTGATCTTTGGTGTTCGTATTTAGAACCGAAGCTCTGATTTTGCTGAAGAAGCGAAACAAATACTGGGCTGATCGATGTGTACAGACAGACAGGGAAGCGCACCAAGGTTATGCGAGACCAAAGGACAGCCCATATGCACCACAAATGATACGTTGCACGAGTTGATCAGTTTTATTGGAACTGGATTCTCTTTCCATCAGTTAAAAAAAAGTTATTCCTTANAAAAGAAAGGAACTCATGCAATGCCACCCAATCAGTATGATGAAGAGGTTGGCAATTGTTGGCACGGGTTCAGGTGATAAAACCGAGTAGTCCACGGTATCACGGTACTTTTATCCACACACCCAATGATGTGTAGTAAAAACGTGTTCTCACACAAAAGTTGAATGAACTATAGTTGCGCTGGGATCTATACCTTTTTCATTTTAAGATGTCCGAAATCCAATTTAAGATGTCACAATATGATGTCCGAGTATCAATTTAAGATGTCATGTTGCTATGTGGATAGTACCATGCATAGTACAGAGTGAAAACATAGCAACATGACATCTTAAATTCACATTGTGACATCTTAAATTGGATTTCGGACATCTTAAACGTTGTAGCTGTATTTGTAGACTTTCGCGTAGACAGATATCCACATTTTGGTCAAAAAATAACACATCATCCCATTTCAGTTTTCAGTTTGAACAACCACTAACCACATATATTCGAACGCCGGTTTTGGTTGCTGTCTTTTGGCTGCCCATTTGGATGAAGAATAGGAGAAGAAAGGAAAGTTGAAAGTGGACTCGAGTAGAAAATGGAGAAGTTCAGTGGACTAAGGTTGTAAAGAATTTGAGGAGATGCACAAACGCCACTGTTTACGACACCCAGCCATATCGCTCAGTGTCTCTAACCATCGGTTACGATCATCCCGAGGTCCCCAACCAGGAAGCTTAACTGGACCTATGTGGCCCAGTTTCCTGGTTAGGGTTTTCATACCCTCATGCCAGGTCTTAACTTGACCACCCTTGGCCAAGTTTCTGCACCGTCGAGCAGGACTGGCCGAACTGTCGCGGCATTCCATCGAAATAATGGAAATAATTACGAATAAAACATGTGACTTCCAAGGTTGCTAAGATATCCAGAAGAAACGGGCTGTGGGTTTGCAAGGATTATGGCGAGATAGGGAACTGTCGAATTTCTGTAGGGGTTATTGCGAGAGGTAATAAACAATAAGTAGATTGCGTAGATGAACGAGAGAGGCATTTTGGGATAGAACACCATGTCGAGGATGAGTGGGGTGGGGTGGGTGGTCAGAGAGGATTTTCTGTGCAAATATTTCACATGCAGACAAGTGCAGTTCACACAGTTTTGTTGATAGACTATCAACGGGTAGGAAAGACATTACGGATAATGGAGCTGGAACTGCGACGAAGAATTCCGAAGTTTCTTAATTAATCCGGTAAAAATCGTCGGGGAACAGTGAACAAAGAACAACAGGAAAAACACACGGATAAAGAAAAAGCGAAATGATTTTTGTTTGGCATGGAATTTTTCAAGTCTTCGGGAGTTGAAAAGATTATCCACGATGTTTCTTTACCCCATTGTAGTCAGGGGATGAACAGTTTAGGTTTGTAAAAACTGAAGCAAGCCTTTCCCGAGATCAATTTGAAAAGAAAAGACCAAATTGCAATACTGCACGATTTACGTCCAGGACGATTTCGCTGCATCTCAACATGGTGCATACTGCAGAAAAAACATCAGTTCTGTAGGAATTTAGCATGGCAACAAAAATGAGTAAAATACAGTGAAACAGACAAGCATAAAAGGGACGAAGAGTTAAAAAGACTGTCACCAGGGTAAGGATAAACTAACATAAAGTTCTTTTTGTTGACAAGGGGGGCTTCCATCGACTGATAGTAATCGTTTCTGCAAACCGCAGCAATCTTGCGATTCGTGACTGGTAGATAATCCGAAATGGCATGCTTCGGTCGATCTGGTGTTGCGTCATCAGAAGATGTCGAGCTATGGCTGATGATGGAGTCTTGCAATTTCGACCGTTGTTCCTATGCCACGGAACTGACCCCGATTACATCATCTGACTTTGGACCCTATTTGGAATATGTTCAACCACCCGGTTGCGTAACTACCTGTCTGTTCTGCCCACATGGGTCGTTCCGCATCCACATTGGAATTGGTA